AAATTACCAATAACATTTCTCAATCCATTTTGATCTCTTATTGTGAACTCAAGCGATAACTTTATGAGAAGAACATCAGAACGTGTTGGCATCAGAGAATCGTTCCTTGGTCTTTGATACAAAAAAAGAAATGATATAATGTATTGGAGAGCCACTTCTTGTCTTGGACACTTATAGAAGACAAAGAAAGAAGTACAATAACAACAACAACAACAAAGTAAGATTGAAAAAAATTAATTATTAAATGGTGGAGAAAGAAATCCTCTCAATTTTATCAAACAAGTGATTAGTTTGATGGAGTAGATGATCTCCATAATGGAGTGGATGAAGATGCAATCTATCAGTACGAGAAATGCACAATGTACAAATGTTTTTAACATGGAAGGAGATGAATATAAGGGTTTGTTTGTCGCTACTGGAGGTGATTGGGGAGCTTGATCTTTCTAGGTGCAAACTAATGTGGAAATCATGAGTTATGATGGAATTATCAATGCAAAAATATTAGATTGCGGATCAATCGATTGGAGATTTATATCACCTTATATACTCATTGACAAGTTTGCCTTAGCCCAACTGAAACTTAGTCAACGTGCCTTGATATGGTGGAATTCTCACTAAATGGGATGTTTCATCAAGAAGAACCTGGGGATTGTTTAAGTAGTTGATTCACCACAAATTCTCTCCGTTGGGTTAGGTCGAAAATTGGTGGAAGAAATGGCAGTTTGAGGCAACGTCAATGATAAGTTTGTGCAAGAGTATACAATGGGGTTTTAGGTTTACACACAAACTATAACTATCGGAGTAAATCTTAGGTATGTAGAAATATTGATGAAGCACACCTCTGAGCTTTATTTACAAATTGTAAATGAACTTTGTCCTTTTGTAATCATAAATCTTAGTTGGACCAATTTGCTCGTGGTGACCATTGAACAGAATAACCAAGACTGAGAGAAAGACCCAAGAACAACTTAAAGAAGAGTCCTCCAAAAATAAGAAGGGAAAAAGCAGAGAATTCTCTAAGACCCGCCCCTTCTCTTAAAGTTGATGCCCTGGGAAGTTCTGTAGTAATTTTCAATGTTGGCGACTCAAAAGATAAATGTTTGAAGTTGCATTTTGAGTTCTTCTTTGGAAAGTAGAAGAAAGATTGGAAATGAAATGCAATTGTTGTAGTGGAAGACAACATCGTGTTGAGTCTAGTGAACAGGAAGGACTTGGCTCTTTATTTGATGACAATGTTGAAATATATAATTGGTAGGGAGACACAAGAGATGTTATTATCTTTTAATAATCGAAGCCAAGGAAGAGTTGGTCAATTCCATCATTGACACCGACAATCAGAAGAATCTCATTTCCCTAGTTTAGTAAAAAAAGGGTTGTACATTGTAATCCCCTCGAGGGAAGAAGAAACATTACATTGTTTGATATAATTTCATGTATTTTGAAGGATGATGCAAAACTATGATGAATTCCACATATAAAACTTGAAGGCAATTCACCAACTAGATTGGATATGAGGAAGCACTTGGCAGACCGGAGGCTGCACATAAGTGATCAAGAATTTGGAATTCATAAAAGAATCGTGATAACCGTCAGTGAGTAATTGATCCCCTAGGGTCCTATCTATAGGAAAGGTCTTTAGGTGATAATTACCTAAATCTTGTAGAGTAGTTGATTGACATTTAATTCCTGAAGTGACATTTTGATCCACGACAAATAATTTAAAAGCTATGACAAGAAACTTAAAAGCTGATGCATAACATAACGTATACTTGACAATATAATCATGTCTTTTGAAATTCTCTAGATGTTACATAATAAAAAATCCTATTAATCATAAATACATAATAAATTCCTTTTGACTATATTGTTTTGGATGGTTGAAGTGTGGAAGAAAATGAAGGGTGGAAAAGCTGTTGGACATGATGATATTCCAATAGAGGCGTGGAAATGCTTAGGAGATGAAGGAATTTCTTGGATTACTAAACTTTTTAATACTATTTTGAAGACTAAAAAGAGGCTAGATGAGTGGAGAATGAGTGTGTTAATTCCTATTTTTAAGAATAAAGGTGATGCACAAGATTGTGCGAATTATAGAGGAATTAAGTTAATGTGTCATACTTTAAAACTATGGGACCGAGTTATGGAGCATAGTTTACGGCGTGATACTAATGTTTCTCAAAATCAATTTGGGTTCATGCCGGGCTATGATGCACGGACATGGACACGGCGACACGACACGACACGGACACG